GCTCTGTGCCCAGTGCCCCAGCACGGGGCTCAGCAGCACCTCGTGCCAGCAGGGCCGGAGCTCTGCCTGCTCACACAGCCAGACAGCAGTGCAGGGACAGGGGAGCAGGAGGCAGGAGGATGCTGGCAGCCAGGCCAGGAGCATTGATTTCCTGAAGCTGCTCAGCAGCTTTCATGGAATCTGCATTGCTTGGAGGCATTCTGTAAACAGACAGCTGCCATTTTCTGATTCTACTAACACACCTTAAAATTAGATTTTCTATTTTGCAGCTGTATTGGTAATGCAATTTACAGCACAAATACCCCTTTTGTTCTGAAAAGTGACTTCATAGCTTTCATTTGAGGGCTTGGTGCATGGCAGCTGCTGTGGAAGACCTAGATTTAGAAAAGACCTTGAAGTTTTGCTGTCCCTCAGCCCCCAAGGAGATCTGAGGGAGCTGAGGCCACTGGGACTGGCCAGAATAGCAGGACACAGCGAGAGGGAACTAAAAGCTGGCTTAATGCTGGAATATCCAGCTGGTGTTTCTAATCTGCAGGGCATTACATTGATCCCCTGAGCAGCGTGTGGGGGGCTGTAATCCCTTTATGTAACCCTTGAGGAGGAAGCACTTACCCCTGCCATTATCAGACACTGGCTGGGTGGTGTGGTGGGAAAGACGTAGCTGTGGAAGGAAACTGTTCCTATTGAGGTCTCTGAAAGGGTCAGTGGGAGAGGGGGATGCTGTGTTTGAGAGCGTGCACCTGCATTTCAAACCACTTTTAGGGGTTCCGCATCCAAAGCCTATAGCTGATGTCAGCTGCATTTCCAATTGGTGTTAAAGGGGAAAAGGGTGAAACAAACAAATAAAATGAACTGAACCAAACCAAACCAAACAAAAGAACACCAATCCTCCAAAACAAAACAACAACAACAACAAAAACCCACAAAAAAACCCAACTGTAAAAGCATGGGAGTGAGGTGCCACTGCCTGATGACCACAACACAGTCGTATGGGTACCCAAGCAAAAAAATATTGAGAAACTGCTCCAAGTGGGCAGAGCGAGAGGCAGAGTACAGGAAGATGAGAGAAGTTAGAGGCAGCGATGGGTTGTGGGGTGGCTGTGGCCAGTTGTGGAAGAGCTGAAAGCTGGTCAAACACCAGCATGACCCTGAGCCACCATTGCAAGGCAGGTGAAATGCCAGGGAAACGCTGACTGGGAGGCAGCTGGACTGCTCCTCTTCTGTGCTCCAGGACATCATAGGGTCACAAAGTCATGCTTTAATAGCCTGGCCTTCAAAATGCTGTATTTTATCCCAAGTACCGGGCCTGGGGGCCCAGCTTTCTGTCCTGTGCCCCAGCCAGGGGATCTGTGCCATGCACTGGTGCTGTCATGCTGTCACACTTCCTTTTGTCTGCTGGCCTGTGCCACCTCTACCCCTGTGACTGTGCTGAGCATTTCTGGTAGAATCACCCACATATCCTGCTTGAACATTCGTTTTTGGGCCACGGTTAGCAAGTGTGCTCCTCGTGTAACATGTCCTGAG